ACTTCTACAGCTTATAACAACAACACTTCTGGTTGACCGCACACACTTTACTGATGTACTACTATGAGATGAGCCACGACCTGACAAATGACCCCAATTTGCATATATGGAACGCCCTCCAGAACATTCCATTTGAAAAATGAGGGAAACAGGTTGTCGTCTAAAACTTGAAAAGTTCAATTTCCTCGTGCGAATCGTTTTGTGATTGTTATGTCATACTAAGTATGTGTACAGCTAAGATCTTTAGAACTGAACCAAGACAAATATAACTTTATTTACAAAACACCCAACACACGAGCTAGAGGAAAGAACATTTGTTATGTTTACAAACGGATGTATAATCGGCATATATTCTGGTGCATCCTCTCCACACAGGGGTCAAATACCTTGTAGATCCATTATGGAATTTAGTGATTTAGGCGAACTTCGGGCCTTAGTCGTCACTTTCTGAATCACTTGCCAGTCCTACTTCGATCACGATTCTGTTAATTTCTTTTTCTACTGCAATTTCCCGTTGCCAGTAGCCATCTTCAATGGTTTTCACATGTTTACAACATTCGGACCATTCCTTGGCACCGATTGCAGACATTCTCTCGTTTAAGGCAACTCTTAGCGAAGTTTTTGTTTAGCAACATAATTTTTTTACATTGCCCCAAATCTTGGATTTTTGCCAGACACAACAGTTTGGCTTTGAGCATTTTATCGTCAAATGCAATATTGTGCCTTTGTAACCAAGGCTTTGATATCATCTTTTCTGTTAGCCGTTGTTGGACATTTTGCCCACTTGCTTGCTGTGGTATGGCGCATTATCCATAACAATGACAAGTGGGGTGGAATGTGTGGGATCAATTTTCCTGCAGCCATTTGGAAAAATTATCAAATTTCATCTCGTCATGATAATCTGCTGATTTGAGCTTTGAGTCAAATACAAGTAAAGCATTTGGTACAAAACCGTTTTCGGACCCTACATGAACTAACAATAAGCCGAGGTCCGGTACCGGGCGGGGCTGAACCTCGATAATTTTATCACAACCACACCATCAAGTTGTCAACATTTTGGGACAATGAGGTGTACACGCAACCATGTTTCATCGATAAAGATGATTGTTCGATTTTGATCTCGACATTTTTATTGCACGTACGTCTTGCATGCGCTTTGCAACGATGTATTTTCGTTCCATTAAAACCTTACGATTTGTCTTTCAGATTTTTTCGAAAACTTTCTTTTGAACCCTGGTATTTACAATTGGCTTCTTGCCATATAATATATCATATCTAGAGTAGGCAGTTGCTTGTGTACTCCATATAAACAAATTGACGAACTGCACACCGGTCAAAATCATCAAGTTTGTGCTTGGAAGTTTTGGGTTTGGGCAGCTTGGTTGGACTAATAAAGTAGGCTTACTCGCACCCCTATCACCTTCCGCTTTAATACGTTTTAAAGTTGCCTTGGACAGACCAGTAGCAAGGCTACTTTTTGACATAACGTCTTCTCTGGTTGCACACATCTTTTCATATGAATAACATTGTAGGCTAACTCCCTTGCCTGAGAATGAACAATTTGCCCATGCTTCCCTAACTTGGACATGTTAAATTAATTAAAATCTGCAAACATTTCAAAATTGACTCGATGTCGACGTGGTGTCTTGCTGAACTAAATCGCTCTACGCGACACGTGTTAAACACAAGCGGTATTGAGTTCACGCCACGGTCAGCATGTATTGCACTTGCTTAATCGCCAGTCTACCTGTAGCAGCCAAGTGTATTCGTCAAGATTCCCCTGCCCCGCCTACTTGTCACAAACTCGTGTAGTGCGCAGGCTCATCTAATACAAGGAGTCAAGCAGTAGTATACTGATTGCCCCATCTGTAATGGTTTTAATCCATTAATCAGTAATGAATACAAACAATCACTTTGGAATAGATCATATATTTTATTAAAAGGCAGGGTTATTAACAAAATACATATCTTTTCTAGTTACATATAACTGTCTATGTAGAACGTTTACATAGAACTTATGTCCTACAAGTCAAAACATTGATTACACAACAGTCTCGTTTCCTCTTGACTGGGTCCCATCCTATTGCGCAACTTAGTACAATAACCAGTCCAGAATTTTGGAACGAATTCATTCAACTGGATACATAATTATTAATCAGTATTATTTGATACATCTAAGCGCTTGCATATTGCAACACTACGACCCTTCTAATCGTTGCGAAACACGTCGATGCAGCGTGCTCTGTCGTACAGCGAGCTCTGACAAACGGAAACCCTGGAAATCGTGGAAATCTAAAAACGAGGCTCTCCCGCTGGTAAAGTTTGGCGGTCTGGTACAGACTTGATATTAAATGAATCACATTGTGCGTTACAATTACATTACATCAGCGCAAAGAACACATAACAGATGTAACCAGTTTGCCAGATGCATTGTATGAATCATTTTACGACCTCATCAAACTGGGACAGTCTGTGACGTCTTAGTTAAGGTCATGCTACCAACACCTCGCCAAAAGATATAGACAGCCGATGTTATTAAAGTTTAAAATTAAAATTTATTTGTAAATACATTTTTTCTTAGGAAGCAGGGAATTGGAATTCAGTGTAACCATAGTTGTTTGTGATGTCTCTTTTCACTTTCACGAGAAAACGTGTGAATTTTCACCTTTTACCATTGTAATTACATGAAATATTTGCTCTTAAATTAACGAAATAAATTCGTCTAACAATGATGCGTATCTTTTGAAAAGTGTATACATGCAGTTACTCAACAACAACAAGAACAACAATGCACCTTGCAACTTGTAAACATTTCATGAATCCAAACCAGACGTAGGCGAGACAAGCGGACTGTCCGCAAGCTATTTCATGATCACGGTGGCTATAATATCAATGAGGATGTTGACGATGGCGATAAATGACAACGATCAAAATGAAAAGGTTCTAATGATGTCAACGACAACGAAGGCTATAACGAAGATATAAGACAATAAAGACGGTAATAGTGATGAATGTTTATGAGGATAAGAACTGTATGATTATCAGTCTTGACGTGATAACGCTGACAACGACGTCAATATCATCTTAATGACGACGATAGCAACGAAATACGACGGGAAAACTATTATGAAAATGAGGTTTTTCACCTTCAGCGTTGTTATATTATTAGTTAGACTCTATACATTTGTCGTCGTTTGTTTTCAGGTGATACATCGCCACCGCCAGCAGCAGCAGCAGCAGCAGCAGCAGCAGCAACAACAACAACAACAACAACAACCAAATTCAGCGTAGGAAATGGCAATTTACAAGAGAGATGATAATAACGTGTTTCCTTCTGACGTGTTTCTTATTCTGTGGAGACCTTGTATTTTCAACCAACTCGTCTAAATACTTTTAATGCCGTGAATGAAAACTGTGAATACAGAGTTGGAATATTTTATACGGCCTTTCCTTATAGATGTTGTTCCATAATCCCGAGGTATAAGCAACTAAGTTGAACCCCTCCTTATTTCATGTATCCCGACCTCCCTTGTATCTTTTGAAAAATATCTCATGAAATGTGTCCATGGTTCCAACGATACTTGATGAAAAGCTACAAGATACCTGCAGGTGTCGCCAAAACGTTGCAAGTACTAAGACACTTCTTTTTCCAAAGAAGCAAAAAGAAACAATCTGAAGAAATCTAAAGGACAGTTACAAAATATCTTCAGATGATCAGTTCTGGAATATCTCAATCCGTATTCAATATATAAGAAATACTGCTTAATTAAAGATAACCAATTCACCTTTACTTGGTTTTGTGTATGTTTTTTATAGGCAGTTTATATTGCTGTGAGACACAAAAACCCAGCAACAACACGCCCCTCCCCTACGAAAACCCCCCAAAACACGACTTATAACAATGAATATTTAACAGTCTTCACTTTAAGTTTAAAGGAAGATTTTCTGTTCTGACACAGGAAGAATGTATCAAGTTAATATGATTCACAATCTTGATTTGTATCGTAAAGGGAAGCTGACCAGTAAATATATATCTGAAGCTTTACAACCAGTTACATTTTGTTATTAATTATTTCTGTAACGAAAAAGGAAACTTTTCCGGATTAATGACGAGGTTTGGTTGTAAAACCGTATACTCCGATCAGCTGTTAAAAGCAAAGTTGATGGAACGATTGCACTGTTATAAGCATGTGTTAACAAATGACACTGAAATAATGATAATATCAGATGTTCAGCGGACGTTTGCAAGTTTGATATACAACAACAACAGCAACAACAACAGCAACAACAACAACAACTAACAACATAATACTAGCAAAACAGTTACATCTAAACAGACCCAACATTCAAGTGTGATAAACAATACCATCAACCATGCCTGTCCCTTTTTGAGAAAACTGTCAGGTTTCTGACATATATTGTACAGAAATATCGCCTTTCGAACTGAAAAGAAGGCCCAGTGAAATGAGAGATCTAGACTTGCTTCATTCATGACTATAACATTACAGACAAGGCGGAAGGAAACATATACTGAGAGAAACAAATAAAAGAACACAGGAAAATTCAAGTGTTCCTTTGATGTTTTCCAGTTTTCATCACCAGCTTTGAATAGCGCTGTGGGAGGAGAATAAATAAAGGAACACTGCCATGAAGCGGTCTTCCCTTATTTGTTTCCCTCAGTATATTATGGACCAGGGACTGTGAGACAGACGAGGCCATGTCCAGTGTTTCCTATCGTCTCAATCTTCAGCTGAAACTCAATATCCTAATCGGTGGGCAAAGCAGTGACTTGGCGTTTTCAACAAAGCATGTTTTTCTATTTGCGACTATGGAGATTAACTGGAATCAAAAGAAAAAACTAGAGCGCAGTATCACATTCCGTGTTGCAACGCGGTTATTTGGCTGCACAATACCCGGATCTCAATAGAGACAACACTAGGGTAGACGACCCTAACGCCGAGGAGGGGGGAGGGGGAGGACGGTGGGGAGTGTGTGAAATAATGTTGAGCTCTCCATGTAGTCAGACATTCTACACTTCTGTCCGCATTTGGTTGGTTGTACACCGTGTATGTTTCGTTTGTTCGTTTCGGGTGAGTATGAATCCGACTTTCGTTGTAAGAATTTGAAAACTGATTTGATTTCAAGTTTTGTATACTTCTGGTAATGTTGGTTCTCATCAGTGTATTGATCGTACATGTTACGTTTTGTTCAGACGTTCATACACGCTATAGTTGGGTTTAATAGGAATTCGTCCATTTTACTTCGGATGTTTATCATGAGGCCAGTGTCACCGCAGGAAGTTTATTAGTGGGATTTAACGCTCCTTTGAACGATACTCCAGTCATATTGCCGCGTGTCTGCTTAATGTAGGAGGAACATCCGAAGTAATGCAGGTTTAACAGTTTGCCATTTCGGAGAACAAACCCAACCAAGCACGGGTGTGACGCTTGCGGACGATGAAACGTATCGGGATCACGTTACCCAGTGACGTGCAGGTGGGCGACAGCGTTGAACCGTCAAGGGGTTAGACAGGTATCACCTGGTTGCAGCAAGGCCGCATCACTTGTCATCTGAAAGAATCTGCGGGTCGTTAGGCCGTTAACTGGTCTCTGGCCTATGAAGGCATGCATCCACATGTTTGGTGTTTGGAGTGGACATAAGATTATGGTGCCGTTGTACAAAGCAACCTTAGCGCTACGCCAGTCATAAGTCTATCTTAAGGTATGAAAGTTAAGATCACCTTAGCGCTATGGCAGTCGTAAGTCTATGTTAAGGTATAGCAGTTACGATCACCTTAGCGCTTTGGCAGTTGTAAGTCTGTTGATTGCAAATTGTTATACACAAAAAATGAGCATGTATTTACAAAACCAAAATCTCTATATATACACACACAATGAGCCGTGAGTGCATCTGCAAATGAACCAGCCGTTACACTTGAGTGCACACCCACCCGCTCTGACTGTGGTGTTCGGTATCCCGGCTACTTCGTTTCTTGGGAAGTAAACCCAAGTACAAAATATTGCACTTTTGATTTGCGATTGTACGCTTATAATTTCGTTTATATGTTTTTTCATAATCAGCAATGTATATTATATGTAATGAATAAGTGATAATTGTGTTTTAATTATGTTTGATTTTTTGGTTGCATGTGACCTTTAAGGTATGGGAGTTACGATCACCTTAGCGCTACGTCAGTCGTAAGTCTATGTTAAGGTATGGGAGTTAAGATCATCTTAACGCTATGGCAGTCGTAAGTCTGTGTTAAGGTATAGGAGTTACGATCACCTCAGCGCTATGGCAGACGTAAGTCTGATGTCTTAGTTATGAGTTACGATCACCTTAGCGCTACGTCAGTCGTAAGTCTATGTTAAGGTATAGGAGTTACGATCACCTCAGCGCTATGGCAGTCGTAGGTCTATGTCTAAGTTATGGGTTACGATCACCTTAGCGCTACGTCAGTCGTAAGTCTATGTTAAGGTATAGGAGTTACGATCACCTTAGCGCTATGGCAGTCGTAAGTCTATGTTTAGGTATGGGAGTTACGATCACCTATGGCAGTCGCTATGTAAGTTAGTTGTAAGTCTATGTTAAGGTATAGGAGTTACGATCACCTTAACGCTATGGCAGTCGTAAGTCTATGTTTAGGTATAGGAGTTACGATCACCTTAGCGCTATGGCAGTCGTAAGTCTATGTTAAGGTATAGGAGTTACGATCACCTTAGCGCTAAGATTGCTTTGTACAACGGCACCAGGTCAATCGGACAGACAACAGGGGCTCCTTTCACGAAGCAACCTTTACTAAGGGTTACCTTAACTCCCATTCTTTAACATTGCACTAAGGTTATGTTTAGGTATGGGAGTTACGATCACCTCAGCGCTATGGCAGACGTAAGTCTATGGCTAAGTTATGGGTTACGATCACCTTAGCGCTACGTCAGTCGTAAGTCTATGTTAAGGTATAGGAGTTACGATCACCTTGTCAAATTTCAGGGTTCTACTGTAGACGGACATCACCGTTACAGATGGGTCTCAGACATGATTTGAGGGGTGTGTGTGAGTGAATTTAGTTTTACGCCTCTTTCAGACATATTCCAGCAATACCGCGGCGGGGTACACCAGGGATGGGCTTCACATAATGTACCCATATGGGGAATCGAACCCGGGTCTTCAGCGTGACGAACGAACGCTTTAACCACTAGGCTACCCCATCGACCTAACTTGGGGTGGGAGTACTAGAGTGCCCGACAGCGATGCATGATAACAGGTGCGCGCTTCAGGGATGACACCTTGTACATGGGATTGTATGATGTGCAATCGGACCGGACGTCATCCACATGGACGACGTTGCACGACCTCATCGTGTCAGGGTCGTTGATACCTGCTTAGAGCTGGAGATCAGTACGAAGTCGCCATCCCGTTCATCCGACCTCAGTCATATGAAACTTGCTGTAGATCGCCCTCTCGGGGCGCTTTTTCCTTCCGGCAACTTTATGGGAATTAGGCAATGCTCTTACTGAAGAGAGGAACAGTCATCCCGTGGTAACCTCCCAAACACTTATTAAGAGCATGAGACGCTGATGCCAGGCTTTGATCGCATCACATCACAGTGATCGCATGCGCTGCAGAAAGTCATATTTTATGGATGATGAATTCGTTTTGCAGGTTTCTGACGTTTAGTTTTGCCCAGGTGCTCTCATATTGACGGGTGATCTGGCACATATAGTTTGTGGGCACTGTGTTGTTCATGAAGCTTACTGTCTCGGGGTATTGATTTTGGCTAGTTCAACAGATGGACACAATTTAATGCATTGCATTTTGAAGTGATGATCCATAGCAAACTTTACATAGTATAACTGGAATGTTAATTACTCTGCAGTTTAGAACAACTAAGTAAACATATGAATCAATTCTGTGTTATTACAGGAAGAAATGCTGTCTAATGTCATGTGATAATTTTTGCTTAGAAAGTTAACTGACATTGAAGTTGTCAGTCAAGTGTCGGTTTCAGCTGTGTAGGTCACGCACTCACTGGCCAAATATACTATTTTCTATACAACTGATCTTGACATTTCAGGCAGCATGCTGGTACTGATCTTCCTCTGTTGTCTACACCTAGTGGTGTTGCAGGCAGCCCCCCTCGCGAATATACCGCCTTTGGGTTTGGGAACAGATCCTCGTTGGGCTGCCGTTCCTCCTATTGGCGGCATTCGACACTCCAGGAGTGCCGGCGGAGACAACACTGTTAAAAACCCCAACCATGTCCCAGAGTTTCTGGTCGGGAACAGGGTGGCAAATGGTGAACATTAAGTGGCTATTCAAAAAGGTAAACAACTATTCCGGCAACAATTAGGTACCCGGTAGTATGAAGTGTAATTGCAGGTCTTGCGTCAAAATGACAGCTTGGGTTGTACATACGCTAGATTGCTGCAAACAATGCATTTCGACCGTTAAAACAATTGTAATAGAGGATAATGGATACAGTGCAATCTCCACTCTTAAAACAAGAAACGCATATAGTTTGGCATGAAATGCATGTGGACCCGGGTTTTTTTAATATCTCTTCATCCATTGATCCAATCGATCTCAAACTGTGCAAGTGGATGTTTTGTCAGACAACCTAATCACATTGTAAATCACCGATTTTATGCATTTGTATTTAAGAATCTGTCTATGTAACTGTCGACAAAATAAACAGCAGAACGCAGACGGCTTGCAGAGGGAGGGAGCCAATGACCTGTAACAGCGGCGGTGTTGGGTCATAAAGGTAAATGCACGTGCAGTTCATGATAGTTACCTGTGCACTGCACAGTGATAGACCGTTTTGATCATTCACATTGACTACTTCTATAGTTTGGCTTGAAATGCATGTGGACCCGGGTTTTTTGTAAATATCTCTACATTCAATGATCCAATCGATCTCAAACTGTGCAAGTGGATGTTTTGCCAGACAACCTAATCACATTGTAAATCACCGATTTTATGCATTTGTATTAAAGAATCTGTCTATGTAACTGTCAACAAAATAAACAGCAGAACGCAGACTGCTGGCAGAGGGAGGGAGCCAATGACCTGTAACAGCGGCAGTGTTGGGTCATAAAGGTAAATGCACGTGCAGTTCATGATAGTTACCTGTGCACTGCACAGGGATAGACCGTTTGGATCATTCACATTGACTACTTCTAGCTGTCATCATGAAAGCTTATTCAGATGATGCTAAACGTTTAATTAGAAATGTGTTGAATTTTTTAAAAAAAGAGGGCAAACGTAGCAAACCGATTTATAAGGTGTCGGATTACATGAAACGTACAACTTTTGCTCTTGGCATGAAAAAAGAACATCGTGCTAAAAATTGTGAAAAATAAACCAACAACCAATAAACAAAACCTTGTACAAAAAGGTAGGCATCCAAAGTAAGATTCTTTTGACATCAGGGTCATCAGAGATGTCATTCGCCGGCTATTTGCTAGAAATGAACACCTGTCCACAAGAAAGTTAAAACACATCCTTGCAGAGGATCACGACATTAATGTTTCTAGGTTTATGCTAAGCAAACTACTGCTCAAATTTGGATACAAGTACAAGAAGGTAGCAAACCAGAAACTTGTAATGTGTGTGAGAGATCTGATATTGTGAAAATAAGGTGTAACTATCTGAGAGAAATTAAGCAGGCAAGAGAGGATGGGTTCGAACCTATATATCTGGATGAGACCTGGGTCAATGCAAACCATACTGCTGCCAGACAGTGGCTACCCACTGATCCCAGTGATGGTAGGAAAATACCAACAGGCAAAGGTGAACGTTTAATCGTTCTTCATGCTGGTTCCCACCGTGGATTCCTACCTTGGTGTGATTTGGTATTTCGGTCAAAGAGCACAGATGGTAGGGACTATCATACAGAAATGAACTCAACGGTTTTCACACAGTATGTTGGAGAACAATTGTTGCCAGCTCTGCCTTACAAAAGTCTTGTTGTCATGGACAATGCTCCCTATCACAGTGTTCGAGATCCAAACAATAGGTGCCCAACTTCCAATACCAAGAAGTCAGATATGCAGCAATGGCTAACAAATACCAATATACAATGTTCAATTAAGGCCATTAAACCACAGTTGTACTCTTTGATTAAACCTAACAAACCTCCACCCACATATAACATTGACAACATGCTACGCCAACACAGCCATAAGGTCTTGAGATTACCACCGTACCACTGTGATCTCAACCCAATAGAACTTATCTGGGGATACCTTAAAAGTACAGTGGCCCGGAAAAATCAATCATTCAAGTTGAATGATGTCAAGCACATTGTCAACACTGCTATATGTGACATTGACATTGTACGCTTGCATGCATGTGTTGAACATGTCAAGAAGGTGGAGAAAGAGTACTGGTTCAAAGATGGCTTGAAGGAGCAAACAGTTAATCCAGTTGATGACACTAATGACTCCTCTGTGGAAGAATGGAGTGAACTTGATGAAGTTTCATTCGGTTATCATATTTACAGATAATAATAGTATCCAGCCAGATATGCTCAAAGAAATATAACTTCTTTTAACAATGACAGCACTGACTAATTCCAACGACTTATTGTGTAAAGCTATTAGAAATGTATTGCTGAATTTGGTATGTGAACGACATCAAAACATAACACTTTTGTCTTCATTCTATCTTTTCTTCAATGAGTGTGCATGATTGTGTGTGCTTGTGTCCGAGGGAACGGGGCTTAACAGTTGTTGAGTTCTAACCATAGGTGGTCCGATTAATGATTTAGTGTAAATATACTTTCTGTGTTCTTTAAATGCATATCCACTTAGGTACTGCATAAACAAAATATGACATTAACATTACAAATTTAAAGATTTTAACCTACAGAATAATTCTCACTAATGGGTTTTGTGGTTAATGTTAAACAACTCAGAGAAACAAACTCCGTATGATGGTTAACAGTTGGCACCCACCTTACCCTATTCACGACCTGTGACACCTCTTCATACCTGTCACGTGCATAGCTGACCTACATTGACGAACGTTGACCTTGATGACCCAGCACTGCCGCTGTTACAGGTCATTGGCTCCCTCCCTCTGCAAGCCGTCTGCGTTCTGCTGTTTATTTTGTTGACAGTTACATAGACAGATTCTTAAATACAAATGCATAAAATCGGTGATTTACAATGTGATTAGGTTGTCTGACAAAACATCCACTTGCACAGTTTGAGATCGATTGGATCATTGGACGAAGAGATATTTACAAAAAACCCGGGTCCACATGCATTTCATGCCAAACTATAGGTGAGTTTGAGAATATTGGACTAATGTAGCTGCGGAAAAACAATACAAATATACTATTTTTCTCCAAAACGTGATCTTTGTGTGATTGTAAACAGCTTCAGCGCCAAAACGCGGCAATTTTAACTTTTCCTTTTGTTTAAGAAGCGTTTGAAGAAATATTCGCCAAAACGTCACCAAGAAAACATGCAAGGCAAATTGCACGAACAAGTAAGGGCTAAAGAATACGGTATTGATCACATTATAAAGGTAAATGTTGTGTTGAATTTTGAAATTTGTTTTCGCCTGGGAAAAAAGAAATCATCATTTCTTAATGCCGCCAATCAAAAAATCGCCATAGGCCACCTTGAAGTAGGGGAAACGCAGTTTGCAGTTGCCCGACATTTCGACGTTCATCAGAGCACCACATCACGCTTTTGAGATTGTTTCCTTCAGACCAATTCCGCCCAAGATCGCGCGAGAAGCTGGCGTCTAAGAGTTACCACCCAAGCTTAGGACCGCTACATCCGGGTTGCTCACATGCGTCATCGTCTTACCACAAGCGTTGAGACTCCACAACGGATCCCTGATTTGAAAAGAATTTTCGACTAGGAATCGATTGCGTAAAGTGGGGATTCGACCACGAAAGCCAGTTTTGAGAGATTTCCATCGGCGCGATTGCTTGCGGTGACCTAGAAGTAGGGATTCGACCAAGAAAGCCAGTTTTGAGAGATTTCCATCGGCGCGATTGCTTGCGGTGGTGTCATGGAGTCCGGAGCTGGAACCTTAGAAACTGGAGGCGTGTCTGGTTCAGTCATGAATCACAATTTCTTGTTCACCGGCGAGATGGAAGACGACGTGTTTACTGTTTGAGAAATGAACGTTTAGCCCCTAATTGCATTTGACAGGTCGATAGTTTCGGTGGAGGAAGTGTCATGGTGTTGGGGTGCGATATCCAACACACAAAGAACTGATTTAGTTGTGGTTCAGGTGATTTTGACAGCAAATCGGTACATCAATGAAGTCCTTGCACGTCACATGGTTCTGATCATGGACCGATAGAGGGAATTGTTCCGGTATGGCAACGCTACTTCACATACAGCACTCGTCACGGTCCGTTACTTGGCCAATTCTACCATCAGTGTCTTATTATGGCCTTCCCGATCACCAGATCTAAACCCATAGAACACCTATGGGATGAACTAGATCGACGTGTACGTCAACGTCAAAACACTTCCACAACTGGCCATCGCATTGCAGGAAGAGGGGGAAGAATTCCGCAAGTGCGACTTCGTCGACTTACCCAGTCTGTACCGAGACGATGCCGAGCAGTAACAGCTGCCAATGGTAGCTATACAAAGTACTGACTTTGACGTCATCGTGTGGATTCAAGTAAACAGAAACACAACAAATATATGCAGTTGTGTTGTCGAACTCTTTGCCTATAGGGGCGGTGGGGTAGCCTAGTGGTTAAAGCGTTGGCTCGTCACGCCGAAGACCCGGGTTCGATTCCCCACATGGGCACAATTTGTGAAGCCCATTTCTGGTGTCCCCCGCCGTGATATTGCTGGAATATTGCTAAAAAGGGGCGTAAAACTAAACTCAGTCAGTCAGGCAGTCTTTGCCTATAGAGGTGTGAATTTTCAGCTTTTTACCATTGTAATTACATGAAATATTTGCTCTTAAACAATGCACCTTGCAACTTTTATGAATCCAAACCAGACGTAGGCGAGACAAGCGAACTGTCTAACCCCAAGCTATGTCATGATCACGGTGGCTATAATGCCAATGAGGATGTTGACGATGACGATGAATGACTTCGATCACAATGAAAAAAGTTCTAATGATGTCAACGACAATGAAGGTTATAACGAAGATTAAGACAATAAAGACGTTAACGGACGGTTATGAGAATAACAATTGTATGATTATCAGTCTTGACGTGATAACGCTGACAACGACGTCAATATCATCTAAATGACGACTATAGCAACGTCAGCGTTGTTATATTATTAGTTAGACTCTATACATTTTTCGTCGTTTATTTTCAGGTGATACAACAGAAACATCGCTACCGCCAGCAGCAGCAGCAGCAACAACAACAACAACAACAACCAAATTCAGTGTAGGAAATGGCAATTTACAAGAGAGAAGATAATAACGTGTTTCCTTCTGACGTGTTTCTTATTCTGTGGTGACCATGTATTTTCAACCAACTCGTCTAAATACTTTTAATGCCGTGAACGAAAACTGTGAATACAGAGTTGGAACATTTTATACGGCCTTTCCTTATAGATGTTGTTCCATAATCCCAAGGTATGAACAACTAAATCGAACCCCCTCCTTATTTCATGTAACCGGATCTCCCTTGTATCTTTTAAAAAAAATATCTCATTAAATGTCTCCATGGTTCCAACGATACCTTATGAAAAGCTACAAGATACCTGCAGGTGTCGCCAAAACGTTGCAAGTACTAAGACACATCATTGTTTCAAAGAAGCAAAAGAAACCATCTGAAGAAATCTAAAGGACAGTTACAATATATCTTCAGATGATCAGTTCTGGAATATCTCAATCCGTATTCAAGATATAAGAAATGCTGCTTAATTAAAGATAATCAATTCACCTTTACTTTGTTTTTTATGTTTTTGTAGGCAGTTAATATTGTTGTGAGACAAAAAAACAGCAACAATACGCCACTCCCCTACCAAAACCCCCAAAACACGACTTATAACAATGAATATTTAGCAGTCTTCACTTTTCTGTTCTGACACAGGAAGAATGTATCAAGTTAATATGGTTCACAAGCTTGATTTTTATCGCAAAGGGAAGTTGACAAGTAAACATATTTATGAAGCTTTACAACCAGTTACATTTTGTTATTAATAATTTCTCTTACGAAATGGGAGCCTTTTCCGGATTAATGACGAGGTTTGGTTGTAAAACCGTCTACTCCGATCAGCTGTTAAAAGCACAGTTGATGGAACGATGCACTGTTATAAGCATGTGTTAACAAATAACACTGGAATAATGATGACATCAGATGTTCAGCGGACATTTGCAAATTTGATATACAACAACAGCAACAACAACAATTAACAACATAATACTAGCAAAACAGTTATATCTAAACAGACCCAACATGCAAGTGTGTAAAACAATACCATCAATCATGCCTGTCCCTTTTTGAAAAACTGTCAAGTTTCTGAACATATATTGTATAGAAATAACGCCTTTCGAACTGAAAAGAAGGCCCAGTGAAATGGGAGATCTAGACTTGCTTCATTCATGACTATAACATTACAGGCTAGGCGGAAGGGAACATATACTGAGAGAAACAAATAAAGGAACACAGGAAAATTCAAGTGTTCCTTTGATGTTTTCCAGTTTTCATCACCAGCTTTGAATAGGGCTTTGGGAGGAGAATAAATAAAGGAACACTGCCATGAAGCGGTCTTCCCTTATTTGTTTCCCTCAGTATATTATGGAACAGGGACTGTGAGACAGACGAGGCCATGTCCAGTGTTTCCTATCGTCTCAATCTTCAGCTGAAACTCAAAATCCTAATCAGTGGGCAAAGCAGTGACTTGGCGTTTTCAACAAAGCATGTTTTTTCTGGAGATTAACTAGAATAAAAAAAACAACTAAAGCGCAGTATCCCATTCCGTGTTGGAACGCGGTTATTTGGCTGCACAATACCCGGATCTCAATAAGAGACAACACTAGGGTAGACGACCCTCACGCCGAGGAGGGGGACGGGGAGGATGGTGGGGAGTGTGTGAAATGATATTTATGTTGAGCTCTCCATGTAGTCAGACATTCTACACTTCTGCCCGCATTTGGTTGGTTGTACACCGTGTATGTTTCGTTTGTTCGTTTCGGGTGAGTATGAATCCGACTTTCGTTAAAAGAATTGCAAACTGATTTTATTCCTAGTTTTGTATACTTCTGGTAATGTTGGTTCTCATCAGTGTATTGATCGTACATGTTACGTATTGTGCAGACGTTCATACACGCTACAATTGGGTTTAATAGGAATTCATCCATTTTACTTCGGATGTTTATCAGGGGCCAGTGTCACCCCATTAGTGGGATTTAACGCTCCTTTAAACGATACTCCAGTCATATTGCTGCGTGTCTGCTTAATGTGGGAGGAACGCCCGAAGTAATGCAGGTTTCAACAGTTTGTCATTTTGGAGAAAAAAACCAACCAAGCACGGGTGTGACGCTTGCGGACGATGAGTGAGTGAGTGAGTGAGTGAGTGAGTGAGTTAATATTTAACGTCACATCTGCAACATTTCAGCCATATAGTGACGAGAAATGTTGTATATAAATAATAAATTAAAGTTGCTAAAGAATCAGTCAGCGAAGGACTGTAAAATAACTAGAGTATCACAGATGGAGTCTAAAACTTGCGGACGATGAAACGTATCGGGATCAGTTACACAGTGACGTGCAGGTGGACGACAGCGCTCAACCGTCAAGGGGTTAGACAGGTTTCACCTGGTTGCAGCAAGGCCGCATCACTTTGTCATCTGAAAGAATCTGCGGATCGGTAGGCTGTTAACTGGTCTCTGGCCTATGAAGGCATGCATCCACATGTTTGGTTTTTGGAGTGGACATAAGATCTGGGTGCCGTTGTACAAAGCAACCTTACTAGTATTTTTAGCGGTATGCCTTTTTGTTAGCACCTCAGAGTTGCCTCCTTTGGCAACTTGTTGACTTGCCATGGAGTTTTCCACCGATTTCGATAACATTCTGAGAGGATAATGATGCTGCCTAGCTTTGCTAGAATGCTCGAGAACTGTGTAAGAGCTATACAGAGGCTGGTTGTTGAGTAGTGCGACACAGATCTATCACATGACTGGAGCTATACACATCTGTCTGCCGTCATCAAGCTGATACACTTTTGCCTACCGTCGTCAGGTCTGTCAACATTTCAAGACCGTGCTTGTCTAATCAACTAGTGTCATTGTAAACAACCTTCAATCAGTATATCTGCTTTCACTGTAAATGTCAAGACTCTGGTGAGTTAATATTTTATATTTGTGACCCAATATTTTAGATTTGTGACTCAACTGCATTGTACTAGGAATCTGTATTGTCATTCATTGCAGTTTGCTCATTGTTTGTTCAATATATTATTGAATATTTTAGACTTGTCTGTGTTCTATTTTGCTGGTTCAAAGGGGACTTGTAAACCTTTTGTCACGGCAAATTTTAACTGAACACCTGTGCCACATTGTATGCCGATTGTCTGAACAGCTCCCGGAATTGTATGTCCCCGTGCAAACATCTATTATTGAATTCACTCTTGATAGCATCGGTTCGGATGGTTAACGTTTAAATTGTTACGGGTGTAAGTGAATGTATGTAAAGTAGACACATGACATAACACTAAGACTGGAACTCGTAATCTCTGTCCTCGGTCGCATCAACGGTACTTTAAATACTTACCTCAATAAGTACCCTTGACTTCAACGTGTTTCATTAATACACGGATGTCCATCGTTCCGTTAAAGATTAAAGCACAATCCTAAACAAATGGGGGAACTTGCTAAAAGATATAACTCAATAAGAATGGGGAAGAATGTTATTGATACATCAAATACGTTTATTTCCGGTATCATATAAATACACACGAATTTGTCCCACTCCCCATTGTTTTCGACGGGTGTGGTACCTCCCAGTCTCCTGACACCCATTTGGAAAGCACACGGGTTTGCTGCCAGGAACATGGTCTGTCTCACAGTCCCTGAACCACATTATTTTACCTACTACCTTGCTCTCCCTGCAATGTTACTGTGGAAATTATATATTTCCAGGGACTAAGCATTAGTCTAGCAGGAACACAACACCTCTGGCACTCTGCCTTCAGTGTTTGGATTCACATTCTCTCAAACGTTTTCTAGCTCGGACTAGGCTGCGCTCCCATGGCGAAGACCTATCTGCTTTCTTGGTTGCTTGTAGGGTGGGCCAGGCCTGATCTGATCGTGAGCCTAACCACCCTGGCTGTCAGGATCATCCGAACATTGACTGGTTTAAATCTTTGTGATAAAATATCACCTAATCTGGTGACTTTTGAGTTCAGCTTGGAATAAGCGATTGAGACTGCCTCGTGACAAGAGGTCGGGAATTCCACAAAGTCTTTGAACGGCACTTGGAAGTGATACAGATAAATTTAAGTGAGTGAGTGAGTTAAACTTTAACGTCACATCGGCAATATTTCAGCTATATCGTGACGAGAACATTTGACATTGAAATAGAATATATATAGATATTATAAAAACCTGCCGACGAAGGACAGTAAAAATACTAGATAATCACAGATATGAATAAAGAACTAGCGAACAAAGCTAAAACATTCCAATTAAAGAAGACAATACAATGCAAAAATGGGCTATAGATCGCCAACAACTGAAGGTAGATCACCATACTAAGGCCCATCGGGACTTACATTACCTTTGCTACCTGCATGGACCCTAGCTGGATTTACACCATCCCTTCAGCCATTGGCGACAGAAGAGAAATCTAGCCATAAATTAAAAGCACACATATTCTACAATTAAAAACGTGGCAAGCCTATATTTACTTTGAAAGTTTTGGGGACTTACGTACCCTCTCAGGAGGACAATAATTTTACGCTACTTCAACCCCCTTTGAGGATACAGCCACTAACAATCTCAGTGACTGATTTAAATTACCAATAATAAAATATTTTTCTATTTACAAATCAGTTAACAAATCTAATTCTTGTAAAAATTCAACTATTAAATGATAATTAACATTATAAAAAAGATCCTTCACTGTTTTGACATTAAAATACTTATCCCTTGTGATGGAATATTCAACACAGTCAAGCAGGACATGCTTGACCGTGATTCTTTCATCACAAGGGATACAAAACGGAGGATCCTCACCTTTCAATAGGTACTCATGAGTATATCTTGTGTGGCCAATATGACATCGTCGTATGATGACCTCTTCAAATCTGGACTGACAACCCAAGTAGGTGTAACCAATATCAGGTTTTATTTCATGTAGTTTATTAATACCTACTTGGTTATCCCACTTCTTCTGCATCAGATCACTTATTTAAGTTCTAATGCCAGCTTTATAATCAGAATATGGAATAAGAAGTGGTGTCACAGATTTGTTGAGTGCTGCCTTGGCAGCAAGATCAGCCATTGTGTTCCCAGAAATACCAATGTGGCTGGGTAACCAACAGAAGACGATGTCACATTGGCCAGTAGCAAGATCATTATATAATTCAATTATTTCAATTAAAAGTGGATGTTTGCAAGAGAGATTTTTAATAGCCTGAAGGCAAGAAAGAGAGTCAGAAAATATTATATATTGTTTACGTTTGGGATGTCTTTGAATAGGGAATAAGAGGATTAAAAACGCAAGTGTGAGCAGGATTGGATTCATTAGAATATAACTTTGTGATATATTGTAGGGACAATTTGATACGGCGAAGTTTTAAAGATGGTTCATTGGCCTCAACGTAGAGACTGTCAATGGGAGAGGTTCTGAAAGACCCAAGACAAAGTCTTAGACCCTGGTGATGGATAGAATCAAGTAGTTTGAGGTTGCTTTTACAGGCCCCACCATATACGATAGAGCCGTAATCGATAAATTTAAGAAATGAAAAAGCAGGACATAGATAGCTGTAGGGTGTATGGTGAGTAGAAACGTTCTGTAGCCAAAAGATCTTACTTTATTCTTTTCTTTTATCAGGCATGTTACTGGAACATGTTCGGTAATAAACTTAGACATTCTGGATTTGGTCCAGTCCAATGTAATCCTGTCATATTTCCTGTCTTGTTGAATTCAGGTCAGACAGACTAATAGAAGTACGAATATTAGTAATCGGAAACTTGGGTAAAAGCAAAAGCAAGAATTGGAATAAGTAATTTGTAGCGTGGCCTTTGCTTCTTGGTTGCCACACTGACATCTCCATTCTCCTTCATCTCCTGTCCTTGTTTCATTTATGACTGCTACATACGTCCCTCCCTCACTTTTATCTCTATCCAAAGATATATACCCTGGCCTATTACTTAGGCAGTTGCTTGTCGATATACACTGCAGGACGGCTGTGCCTTCAGGATCTCTCAAAGTTATTGGCCAGTCACAGGTGCAGCGTAAAGATGTTGGTTGTCCAAGGATTGGACTGTCATCAACTTTTAGAGTAGGATAAGCAGGTGCCCCTGAAGTGAGGAAGCATACGTAAACTGATCACTATTACTTTATAACAATGGACTATCTACACTTATAACAGTTATCTTTAGTGAACTCCATACAAGTCCCATACCTTTTCTGTAAATTGTGTCTTTTTACTTAATTGGTACATTTTTTGCAACCTTTAAGCCAATTCTTTCCATCTACATTCATCTACATTAACATTCGAAATTGTGTTGATAGAAATATTAATACAAAACAGTTAAAAGAGTAAAGAATATTTATGACCCATGTTCGCTCTTGACACACTGACTCTGAAGCGTGAATGTCCGTAAATGTGAAATGAGATAAATCCACGTACTTTTGGGTTCTGGAGTAGTCAGATCCATGGATGTCGTGCGCTGTATACGTAGCGTGGCCTTTGCCTCTTGGTTGCCACACTGACATCTCCATTCTCCTTCATCTCCTGTCCTTGTTTCATTTATGACTGCTACATACGTCCCTCCCTCACTTTTATCTCTATCCAAAGATATATACCCTGGCCTATTACTTAGGCAGTTGCTTGTCGATATACACTGCAGGACGGCTGTGCCTTCAGGATCTCTCAAAGTTATTGGCCAGTCACAGGTGCAGCGTAAAGATGTTGGTTGTCCAAGATGAGCTTCACCATCTACGTGAAGGGTAGGATATGTGACTGCACCTGTACGATGAATGCAAATAAACAATTCAATATTGCATTTATATAAACGTTATCATGGATAAAATATGTACCCTTTCTGTTAACAGAAGATGTTTCCAACAATCCTCAAAATTGACTTTACATTTGTAAAGCTGAATTAGATAATTTCTACCTATTAGTTAGGACGGCAGGGTGGGACAGTGGTTATAACTTTCGCTCGCGAAGTCGAAGGACTACGATCGATTCAACCTATGGAACGACACCGAAGCCCTTTTTGGGTGTATGCCGCTTTGGATTTCCTGGAATATTACAAAAAAGAAAGTAAATCAAGATTGTCTCACATAAAGGGACCATGACATATTTGTATTTTGAGAAAAAATTGATTTGATTACCGTTAGAGTAGTACGATAGCAGTACGATACGCTGTACAAATGTACCCGACGCTGTACAAATGTACCTGACGCTGTACAAATGTACATTACGCTGTACAAATGTACCCGACGCTGTACAAATGTACATTACGCTGTACAAATGTACCCCACGCTGTACAAATGTACATTACGCTGTACAAATGTACCTGACGATGTACAAATGTACATTACGCTGTACAAATGTACCTGACGCTGTACAAATGTACCTGACGCTGTACAAATGTACCTGACGCTGTACAAATGTACATTACGCTGTACAAATGTACATTACGCTGTACAAATGTACAATAATGTGCAAATGTACAATACGGTGTGCAAATGTACAATACGCTGTACAAATGTACCTGACGCTGTACAAATGTACATTACGCTGTACAAATGTACATTACGCTGTACAAATGTACAATACGCTGTGCAAATGTACAATATGCTGTACAAATGTACTAGACGTTGTACAAATGTACTCGACGCTGTACAAAGTATATTACGCAGTACAAATGTACAATGCGCTGTACAAAAGTACCTGACGCTGTACAAATGTACATTACTCTGTACGCTGTACAAATGTAATCTGACGATGTACAAATGTACATTACGCTGTACAAATGTACCCCACGCTGTACAAATGTACATTACGCTGTACAAATGTACCTGACGATGTACAAATGTACATTACGCTGTACAAATGTACCTGACGCTGTACAAATGTACCTGACGCTGTACAAATGTACCTGACGCTGTACAAATGTACATTACGCTGTACAAATGTACATTACGCTGTACAAATGTACAATAATGTGCAAATGTACAATACGGTGTGCAAATGTACAATACGCTGTACAAATGTACCTGACGCTGTACAAATGTACATTACGCTGTACAAATGTACAATACGCTGTGCAAATGTACAATACGCTGTACAAATGTACTTGACGTTGTACAAATGTACACGACGCTGTACAAAGTATATTACGCAGTACAAATGTACAATGCGCTGTACAAATGTACAATTCGCTGTACAAATGTACCTGACGCTGTACAAAATGTACAATACGCTGTACAAAATGTACATTACGCTGTACAAATGTACCTGACGCTGTACAAATGTACAATTTATGTAATACGCTGTACCAAATGTACATTACGCTGTACAAATGTACATTACGCTGTACAAATGTACCTGACGCTGTACAAATGTACATTACGCTGTACAAATGTACATTACGCTGTACAAATGTACATTACGCTGTACAAATGTACCTGACGCTGTACAAATGTACCTGACGCTGTACAAATGTACTGACGCTTTACGCTTTACAAATGTACATTACGCTGTACAAATGTACATTACACTGTACAAATGTACATTACGCTGTACAAATGTACCTGACGCTGTACAAATGTACCTGACGCTTTACAAAAATACGCTGTACAAATGTACCTGACGCTGTACAAATGTACATTACGCTGTACAAATGTACCTGACCTGACGCTGTACATAAATGTACCTGACGCTGTACAAATGTACATTACGCTGTACAAATGTACCTGACGCTGTATTAAAATGTACATTACGTTGTACAAATGTACATTACGCTGTACAAATGTACCTGACGCTGTACAAATGTACCTGACGCTGTACAAATGTACATTACGCAAATGTAAATACGCTGTACAAATGTACCTGACGCTGTACAAATGTACCTGACGCTGTAAAATGTACATTACGCTGTACAAATGTACATTTCGCTGTACATAAATGTACAATACGCTGTACAAATGTACAATACGCTGTACAAATGTACCTGACGCTGTATAAATGTACCCTGACGCTGTACAAATGTACAATACGCTGTACAAATGTACCTGCTTTATGCTGTACAAATGTACCTGACGCTGTACAAATGTACACTACGCTGTACAAATGTACATTACGCTGTACAAATGTACATTACGCTGTACAAATGTACCTGACGCTGTATAAATACAAATATACATGACGCTGTACAAATGTACATTACGCTGTACAAATGTACAATACGCTGTACAAATGTACATTACGCTGTACAAATGTACATTACGCTGTACAAATGTACCTGACGCTGTACAAATGTACAATACGCTGTACAAATGTACCTGACTCTGTACAAATGTACATTACGCTGTACAAATGTACATTACGCTGTACAAATGTACAATACGCTGTACAAATGTACCAATACGCTGTACAAATAAAATGTACCTGACGCTGTACAAATGTACCTGACGCTGTATAAATGTATATTACGCTGTACAAATGTACATTACGCTGTACAAATGTACCTGACTCTGTACAAATGTACATTACGCTGTACAAATCGACATTACGCTGTACAAATGTACCTTACGCTGTACAAATGTACATGACGCTGTACAAATGTACCTGACGCTGTACAAATGTACCTGAGGCTGCTGTCACAATAACCGTCTGTTGTTTGTTAGTTTGGCAATTTTGTTTTACGTACATACAGAAATAGCAGGTATAATGACGGGGGTTTGTAAGTAATCAAGTTTGTAGCAGGCAACCCAGTGATTAATATCATGAGTACGAGTGCGCACCCTCTCAGCACCCCTCTGGATCCGCCCCTGCTGCACAATAAGGACAAGCTGACATGCGTAAACTAACTCAGCGAGCCTGACCTCGATCCCGTCTACCGCCTCATATAGAATCTCTGTCGTTCCAGTTTAACGTTGCGTGACGAGCCTGTGTCCACCTTGTATATCTATATATTGTGTGTGCACCGGTACATGAATGTAATGGAAGAAGCACGTTTTTCAGGGCGATATAGCGATGGCATAACAGCACAGCAACCACAGAAACAAAAACCAAGTGTACGACCACTCGACATACGGCAATACGTTTTTTGCCGTGAGTGAGTGAGTTGGGTTGTAGCAATATCCTAGTAATATATATTTCACGGTGGAGACACCAGAAATGTGCTTCACACAACTGTACCCATGTGGGGAATCGAATCCGGGCCTGCGGCGTGACGAGCGAACGCTTTAACCACTGGGCTATCCCACTGCTTACTGCTGTGGAATCCGTTGGCAACACACAAGGGTTACAGCCTGAATGTGATGGGATCCCACATACAGTTACGAATGTAACTTTAATCGACATTATCGAAAATATTTCAAGACACTCTTGCTGAAATAGTCGATTGTACGATTCCTTTTGTCTCATAAGAATGTGTTTATGAACGGTCAAAGAGCTACAAATCTCGGTCACTAACAAAGCACGAAGAATAATCTTTACACAGGTTGTCAGACCGTTCCGATATATCACAGTTCTACTTCATTCACTTCATTCACTAGTCAATAATCACTAAAATTTCTGCTTACCCTTAACAGCAAGGAAGAGCAGCGCGATGCACAAACCTGTCATGTCCATGGCTTCCAAATCAAGTAAATACGGCTGAGCTGGATCTAAATTAAGAGTGGGATTTCCAAAACGTCATGCCCATGAATTACACACTCAAGCAGAACAGACAGAACAGAAAGGGGTGCGCACAGTTCATTTCCACCCATTTTCTCGAGAATTTCAATTGGTCATTTAATAAACTTTCAGGACAAAAGGCGGGTGCGCACCCCTAACTCTCCCCCTCTGGATCCGCCTATGTGAAATACACATCCATGACGCCATTATTTGTAAACTGGCAAAATTTCACACACAACAGAACCTGGTTTATCTTGACTGAAGCGTTTCAAATCATCGGAATTACGACTGTCGGGATTACCGTTCACGCATCCTTCACGCCAGTATTGTAAATTGGCAATTTACACACACAACAGAACCTGGTTAATCTGGACTGGAGAGTTTCAAATCATCAGAATTACCACTGTCGGGATTACCGTTCACGCATCCTTGACGTCATTATAGAAAACTGGCAATTTCCACACACAACAGAACGACTGTCCAGATTACCGTTCCATTTTACTACAGTCACGGCTTTGTCGCTTTTGTGTTTACAAAGTATACTCCATGTGTTCACACCCGAGCCATAATATATTCATTTACATGTACCCGTATTCATATATGTACAAAATATTTTTACAAAATTTGGTTCTGTCTCTTTCCGTCACCTTCCATCCTTTATGTGCGAACAAACAAGTTGAAGAACAATAATCTGCAATAACCTCGACTGCAAGTTCTTCTGACCTGAAGTAGATGTCGTCCCTGTAGTAGCAGGGGGTAAGGTTGTAGTCCTTACATTCACATTGAGTCGAAACACTTCCATATCCACACCATTGTTCCTGCAGGTCCAGTTTCCCTCGTGCTTTAGTTGCACAGAAGGTATAGTAAACACTAGGATGCTTGCGTTGGTGAGGTGTCTTTCAAAGACATGGAGGCTGTCGGAACAACTGTTGTAGGACTTGCAATGTAGGCCATTAAAACCATCTGGCTGAATGACATTAATTATCTCAAGTGGCTCCTTGACTGGACAACTCAGAGTAATGTTTGAATCTTGCTCGGCTGTGAAGGATTCCGCAGAAACTGAAGATATAGAATGACTCTTGAATATTGTTACACACTCATTCATTCACTCTCAAATGTGGAAACGTCAAAATATACCTATCATTAATCGTTAATTGTTAGACTTGCACAAGTCTCTGAAGTAATGATTAATAATTTCATTCTAGAAAAAAGTAAAAACAACGAGCGTCGTTACTGTACTGTCTAGACTTGCCTCTTTGAAGGATAGAATTGCTATACATCCCCGGGCTCAGCCTTCAGTACAGCCGTGGAGCAAGTCTATGTTAAGGTATAGGAGTTACGATCACCTCAGCGCTATGGCAGACGTAAGTCTATGTCTAAGTTATGAGTTACGATCACCTTAGCGCTACGTCAGTCGTAAGTCTATATTAAGGTATAGGAGTTACGATCACCTGTATCTGCCTGCCCGTCTGCTAATGACAATATTCAATACACAACTTCGATCACTGACCACATGCAATTTGAACTTAGCACCTATCAGGCTATACACCATAAACAAAACGCATTGATTTATGGCCCGAGTTCGGTCTCTGTCACATTATAATTACACAGACAGGCAGGTGTGATACTTGTACACATGACATGTTATGATGGCTGTTGATTGCAAAATGTTATACACAAAAAATGAGCATGTATTTTCAAAACCCAACATCTCTATATATACACACACAATGAGCCGTGAGGGCATCGGCAAATAAACCAGCCGTTACACTTGAGTGCACACCCACCCGCTCTGACTGGGTTCGGTATCCCGGCTGCTTCGTTTCTTGGGAAGTAAACCCAGGTACAACATATTGCACTTTTGATTTGCGATTGTACGCTTATAATTTCGTTTATATGTTTTTTCATAATCAGCAATGTATATTATATGTCATGAATAAGTGATAATTGTGTTTTAATTATGTTTGATTATTTGGTTGCATGTGACCTTTAAGGTATGGGAGTTACGATCACCTTTCGCTATGGCAGTTGTAAGTCTATGTTAAGGTATAGGAGATACGATCACCTCAGCGCTATGGCAGTCGTAGGTCTATGTCTAAGTTATGGGTTGCGATCACCTTAGCGCTACGTCAGTCGTAAGTCTATGTTAAGGTATAGGAGTTACGATCACCTTAACGCTATGGCAGTCGTAAGTCTATGTTAAGGTATGGGTGCTACGATCACCTTAGCGCTATGGCAGTCGTAGGTCTATGTCTAAGTTATGGGTTACGATCACCTTTGCGCTACGTCAATCGTACGACTATGTTAAGGTATGGGAGTTACGATCACCTTTGCGCTATGGCAGTCGTAAGTCTATGTTAAGGTATGTAAGTTACGATCACCTTAGCGCTATGGCAGCGTCAGTCGTAAGTCTATGTTAAGGTATGGGAGTTACGATCACCTTAGCGCTATGGCAGTCGTTGGTCTATGTCTAAGTTATGGGTTACGATCACCTTAGCGCTACGTCAGTCGTAAGTCTATGTTAAGGTATAGGAGTTACGATCACCTTAACGCTATGGCAGTCGTAAGTCTATGTTAAGGTATGGGAGTTACGATCACCTTAGCGCTATGGCAGTCGTAAGTCTATGTCTAAGTAATGGGTTACGATCACCTTAGCGCTACGTCAGTCGTAAGTCTATGTTAAGGTATAGGAGCTACGATCACCTGTATCTGCCTGCCCCTCTGCTAATGACAATATTCAATACACAACTTCGATCACTGACCACATGCAATTTGAACTTAACACCTATCAGGCTATACACCATAAACAAAACGCATTGATTTATGGCCCGAGTTCGGTCTCTGTCACATTATAATTACACAGACAGGCAGGTGTGATACTTGTACACATGACATGTTATGATGGCTGTTGATTGCAAAATGTTATACACAAAAAATGAGCAGTACAAATGTACCCGACGCTGTACAAATGTACCTGACGCTGTACAAATGTACATTACGCTGTACAAATGTACAATACGCTGTACAAATGTACCTGACGCTGTACAAATGTACCTGACGCTGTACAAATGTACCTGACGCTGTACAAATGTACATTACGCTGTACAAATGTACAATACGCTGTACAAATGTACCTGAAGCTGTACAAATTTACAATACGCTGTACAAATGTACCTGACGCTGTACAAATGTACCTGACACTGTACACATGTACATTACGCTGTACAAATGTACCCGACGCTGTACAAATGTACCCGACGCTGTACAAATGTACCCGACGCTGTACAAATGTACCTGACGCTGTACAAATGTACATTACGTTGTACAAATGTACAATACGCTGTACAAATGTACAATACGCTATACAAATGTACATTACGCTGTACAAATGTACCCGACGCTGTACAAATGTACCCGACGCTGAACAAATGTACCCGACGCTGTACAAATGTACCCGACGCTGTACAAATATACCTGACGCTGTACAAATGTACCTGACGCTGTACAGATGTACCTGACGCTGTACAAATGTACAATACGCTGTACAAATGTACCTGACGCTGTGCAAATGTACCTGACGCTGTCCAAATGTACCTGACGCTGTGCAAATGTACCTGACGCTGTACAAATGTACCTGACGCTGTACAAATGTACCTGACGCTGTACAAATGTACATTACGCTGTACAAATGTACATTACGCTGTACAAATGTACATTACGCTGTACAAATGTACAATTACGTTGTAAAATGTACAATTACGTTGTAAAATGTACAATACGCTGTACAAATGTACCTGACGCTGTACAAATGTACCTGACGCTGTACAAATGTACCCGACGCTGTACAAATGTACCTGACGCTGTACAAATGTACATGACGCTGTACAAATGTACCTGACGCTGTACAAATGTACCCGACGCTGTACAAATGTACCTGACGCTGTACAAATGTACCTGACGCTGTACAAATGTACAATACGCTGTACAAATGTACCTGACGCTGTACAAATGTACATTACGCTGTACAAATGTACCCGACGCTGTACAAATGTACCTGACGCTGTACAAATGTACCTGACGCTGTACAAATGTACATTACGCTGTACAAATGTACATTACGCTGTACAATTATACCGGACGCTGTACAAATGTACATTACGCTGTACAAATGTACATTACGCTGTACAAATGTACCTGACGCTGTACAAATGTACCTGACGCTGTACAAATGTACATTACGCTGTACAAATGTACCTGACGCTATACAAATGTACCTGACGCTGTACAAATGTACATTACGCTGTACAAATGTACCTGACGCTGTACAAATGTACATTACGCTGTACAAATGTACCTGACGCTGTACAAATGTAAATTACGCTGTACAAATGTACATTACGCTGTACAAATGTACATTACGCTGTACAAATGTACATTACGCTGTACAAATGTACCTGACGCTGTACAAATGTACATTACGCTGTACAAATGTACATTACGCTGTACAAATGTACCTGACGCTGTACAAATGTACATTACGCTGTACAAATGTACCCGACGCTGTACAAATGTACCTGACGCTGTACAAATGTACCTGACGCTGTGCAAATGTACATTACGCTGTACAAATGTACATTACGCTGTATAATTATACCGGACGCTGTACAAATGTACATTACGCTGTACAAATGTACATTACGCTGTACAAATGTACCTGACGCTGTACAAATGTACCTGACGCTGTACAAATGTACATTACGCTGTACAAATGTACCTGACGCTATGCAAATGTACCTGACGCTGTACAAATGTACATTACGCTGTACAAATGTACCTGACGCTGTACAAATGTACATTACGCTGTACAAATGTACCTGACGCTGTACAAATGTAAATTACGCTGTACAAATGTACATTACGCTGTACAAATGTACATTACGCTGTACAAATGTACCTGACGCTGTACAAATGTACCTGACGCTGTACAAATGTACATTACGCTGTACAAATGTACAATACGCTGTACAAATGTACCTGACGCTGTACAAATGTACATTACGCTGTACAAATGTACATTACGCTTTTCAAATGTACCTGACGCTGTCTGCTAGTGGAGGTTGCTGTCACAAATCTGTAACCGTCTGTTGTTTGTTAGTTTGGCAATGTTGTTTTACGTCGCACACAGAAATATTCCAGGTATAATGACGGGGCTTGTAAGTAATCAAGTTTGCAGCAGGCAACCCAGTGATTAATATCATGAGTACGAGTGCGCACCCTCTCATCACCCCTCTGGATCCGCCCCTGCTGCACAATAAGGACAAGCTGACATACGTAAACTAACTCAGCGAGCCTGACCTCGATCCCGTCTACCGCCTCATATAGAATCTCTGTCGTTCCAGTTTAACGTTGCCTGACGAGCCTGTGTCCACCTTGTAATCTATATATTGTGTGTGCACCGGTACATGAATGTAATGGAAGAAGCACGTTTTTCAGGGCGATATAGCGATGGCATAACAGCACATCCACCACAGAAACCCACCACAGAAACAGAAACCAAGAGTACGACCACTCGACATACGGCAATACGTTTTTTGCCGTGAGTGAGTGAGTTGGGTTGTAGCAATATCCTAGTAATATATATCACGGTGGGAGACACCAGAAATGTGCTTCACACAACTGTACCCATGTGGGGAATCGAATCCGGGCCTGCGGCGTGACGAGCGAACGCTTTAACCACTAGGCTATCCCACTGCTCCGCTAGTAGTATATACAATGATAGTCCTGGACCAAGTCCAACAAAAGCCTCTGCAAAGCCTTATTTCCCAAATAAGGCTTTTGTCGGGCCCTTAGCTCTTGCTACCATTGTATCTACTACTTTTGAGCCCCCGTTGATTTCCCGCCCACTCGTGGCACTATTGTGCCGCTGTGCCACGTTGGCAGGAGGTAACATTGTGTCGTACGGTATGATCAATAATTCCTCTCTAACGAGCCCTCTCCCTGGCCCATCTCTCAAGTAGTACAAGTTCGGCTCGTCGGCTTTGATGTCTACTTTATCTATGTTGTAAGTTTTGACTGACCATATAGGATCGGTGGCTCGCTTACGGCTCCCCCGGCTGGTATAGGTGCCTCACTAGTGCCCTATCTGGTATCTGTTTCTCCTTCCCACGCAATGGAGCAGCCGACTCTGCTACTATTGATTTTAGTTTGATAGTGTCTGCCGGTTTCTTGCTGGTGAGACGGGTGGCTTCATGGTTGATTGTCGACACCACCTTAGGTAGCCGCGCGACCCATTGAGTCGATCGCTTCCCAGGGTTGGCCATCTCTCTCGCATACTGATGTCCGAATAAGCGCTCAGCCAAAGTCCTATTGAATCTCTCAACTATGGCTTGGCTGCGATGGGCTCCGGCCATGCCACGCCTGACCTTTGTATCGTGTTTATCCAGCAGTTGTGACACGACACCCATGAACTCCTGCCCGGGGTCAACTTGCAGCTCTGTTGGCCACGTCAGCGGACTGCGTTTGTATATGCGTTCGAATCCGCGGGCTACCTGGGCCGAATCTTTCGTGGTTAAGGGTTCGGCTTCCTTGTAGCGACTGGCAACGTCCACAACGGTCAGGGCATACTTGTACCTCTTGTCATGGGGTAGGAACAGGAGGTCGGCCTGGTGAAAGCTATTGGGTATGTTAATACCGAACTTCCTTCTAGGTACGTAGCGTGGTGCCGGTAAATAGATCTGCCACAGGGCTTGTTTTTCAAGCCACGCTTTGGCCTCCTCCGGGGGTACTCGCGCCATTTTAGCCAGCTTATGTACGGCGCTAACTCCTTTCCAGTACCCACGCGGGCTGTAGTAAATAGCCTCAAACTTTCTTTGGTTCCGTGACATGTCACCTATATACACCTATGTTCTTGGTTCAATTTTCTCATGCCCGTACGCGTACGTGTTTATCCCATCAATAGCTATCCAACGTTTAGTGTCCATCGGCGACAGGGACGTCTTGTTTATAGTCAGTCCGTATATCCTATGCCCATCACTTCTAAGCGTGTTCATTTTATGTCTAAAGGTACGGGTCTTGAACAGGGCTTCCTTGAATCTGGCGTGTTTGATGTGTTGTTTCACCACGTACTTCTTAACACCCTTCGCCTTCCGGATCTCACCATTGTCGGCCTTCAGGATGGAGTACATCTTAGGCCTCAAACCTATGTACTCGGCTATGGGCGTGCCAGCACACTCGTCCTTCATCTTACCTAGGACCTTTTTATTTACCGTGCTGTGTATGGCATGGTCCTTGGGGTAGTCACTGGTGTCATACAAATCGAGGCGTTTTTCATGTCCTCGTACACGTCCTCGGTTCGAATCTCCATCAGCAGGGAATCCGTGTCAGTGTACAGCACTTCACACCTGTCGTCGTACTGTTTCTTCAGCTCGTTGTAGTAAAAGTCGTACATCAGGTGTTTGGATAAATCGAGGATGCTCATCCCCACGTAAACAGGCCGGTTGAATTTTATGTGGCTTTTCTTCATGTGTAGGGCAACCAGGTCGTCGGTGAATATCTTGCTACGGTTGAATGCCGGACTGGCTATCAGTCTCCTGAGCTTGTCTTCCTCATTCGACCGAACCAGCTTCACGGTCACGCGTTTCCTCAGGTTCTCCATAGTCTTACCAAACACCGAGTTGTTCATGAGCTTGTAGAGATTTTTCTCAAAGTCACTGGTGGCAAGCTTTCGGAGGTCTGTGTTCATTCTGATGTATGGTTCCATCCAGGGGCTCTGGTTGAACACGAGCACCCTGTGTATTTTGGTCAGCCTCATACCCAACGACAGGTACAGCTGTAGGTTGCGATAGTGAACGATGTACTTGGTCTTATTCATTAAGTTGGGCACGAGTTTTTCAACGTCTGCCACCCGCCCACCTAACAAGTTATGTTGGTACTCAGACATCCAGTCTGGGTTAACCCTCATACGTTCGGGGGCCAGGGGGTAGCTGTTGTGTGATGTGTGTAATGCCTTGGGGTATTCCAAGTCAACCTCGAGGATATAACCTTTGTTCGAATCGTCCGCGATGCTCATAACATCGACCTCGTGCGATGCCCATTCGAATCCCCCTGTGGGTAGATACTGGCTCATGGCCCAACCGTACAGGTTGTTGGCGTCGAGGTAGAGAATATGATTGGTTGGCTTGCTCGGGTCGTAGCCCTTCACGTATTGATTATTTGCTTTCGCGTATCGTTTGGTTGCCATGGAAATCCCACCTCGCAAGCCTTTCTCAATGAATAGGTGCATGTCGTAATCTGTGAGCAATTCCAACTTAACTCCGGTCTTTTTCAGCAAGGCATCCCACGACAGACCTGGGCTGGTGTAGTACCATGCGGGGTCGAGTTTATACTGCTTGAAACATGTCCGCCTAAACGTCTCAAACACGTCGGCTAACAGCAGTACATCTGTCCTCAAGTACAGGTCGTGATAGTCACCCAGATTCTTACAGCCCAGTTTATTCCATACGTTAATAGCGTGCGAGTAATCGTCTTGGGATATTGCCGAGTCGGTCAGGTTGCTGTAAAATTCTCTGATGGGGGGGTAGTCTGGTCTCGGCGAACTTGGCCCAGCCATCCATGTACTCATAGGGGTACACACCCTTCCTCATCAGCAGGGGTCTAGTCTCGGCGTCGGTGTATCGATCGGTGATGGGGAAGGTATCGTTGGCCTTGACAAGACTGTCGAGTGACGACAGGAGGAACTGAACCGAGTCGATGAACCTCAGGCCATTCAAGCTGAAGGAGATGTATCTCTCCATGTTGTTGGGGATGCACGTCAGGTTGCCGTCAACCCTCGCGATGGCCTGCATGATCAAGTGAGAGTCGTACCCTCTCAAGTTGTGAAAGACCACGGGGATGTTTATTGTCTTGGGGTTGATTCTAAGCTTGAGGTTACACGCGCTGTGAGCGGCGCCTCTATACTTACCGGTGACGTGGCAGTGATCTCTCACCGAATCACCGTTCAGTGGTGAGTCACACACGTGGCAGTTAGTGCTACAGGCGTGAGCTAGCCGGTCGGCTTTGGTCATACGCATGGGAGCGACTGTATACAGTGCATTCCTAATAATTTTTTCTTCCTCCTGCAAACACTTTAGAAACTTTTCAGCCGCGTCGGGACCCCTGTACACTACCGGAGCTTTCGTTTTCCCATCACAACGGACGACAACGTATCCAAACCCACAGGCCTCATGCTCTTGTGTTTTCTGTGTGAAGCTCTCTCGCCTGTGGGGTACCCCGGCAACCTCAACTGGTTTGACCAAGGCTTCAAAGTCGGCGTATAGATGATATAAGGCACAGACATTTGGTTCTTGTGGTTGTCGAATTTTAGGATATTGTCACCTTCCTTAGGCATGTCAACTCGTATGGCCGTCTGCCCCACACCTTGGCAATCCTCCCGGTGGGATTCTAATAAATCAGCTCGGCTGAAACCGTGCAGGCATCGCACACAAAAGTGTTTTTTTACCAACGTGTTTCGACTGGTCGTGCAACAGCCTGCTGAGATGTTTTATCCGCATGTAGTGATACTTTTCACCTCGCTGGGTCATGAATATATTGGTAACGTGGCGACCCTCCTCCCCCAACACTGGGCTGACCCTGTGCACTATTGTTGTGTTACCTTCGTGCCCAAAGACGTTTATGGCTATATTATTCTGTTTTTCTACTTTGGTGATCTGGGATATGGGGGTTGGTTCATCTATACCATCCCAGTTGAGCCCATCGTCTTGGGGATAGCTAGAAAGCCTGTCTGAATGAGTGTCAACTGGATACAAGTCTGCCCTGATAGCTACCCTCAGGCAATCGTCTCCTCTATTCTTGACGTTGACCATGGCATGTTTTTTCTTATAGTAGGGGGGGCAAGTCTAGGTATGACCCGCCTCTGAACGGCACGTAGTTAGCTATGTCTAGATAGACATTATCGATTTTATCAACAACCCACCCGGACCCCATGTGTGTGTAGCGTTCTAGGTATTCTCGTATCTGCTGAAAACTGGTATCGATTGATGCGTCTATGGTCTCTGTATGCGTGACGATTTCTTGTTTACCTCGGAAGTAAGGCTGAACGTACTCAGTGACCCCAGCCCCCCGCCTGCTTATCGAGTGACATTTTCACTGTGATCTGAAACTTTATACTTCCCAGATTGTTTAGTTCCTGGTTGACTTTATCAGCTATCAGAGGCTTGATATCTGTGATGTCTATGTTCCTATCAACATGCATGCGCCAGCCTCTCAAATAGTTGCCTACAGCGCGCTCAGTGGGTATGAACTGTAGGTCAATAGCTCTATTCTGCCGTAATAGTTCTACAAGCTGTGGTTTCCTCATACGGGAATATCCGCCTAACCCCAAATTGCGTACCTCGGCTTTTAATTGTTTTACAGTGGGAGGTTTTGCTACGGGGTCATGTGATAACAATGCGACTAACCCGGCTCTCCCCAGGTGGGAATAACCCGTGAACCCAAGCTCTTTTGCTTGGACTTTTAATTGTTTTACCGTAGGAGGGGCTTGTATGTTAAGTAATCTCAACAATGCTGGTTTGGTCATTCGAGAATAACCAATTACACCACGGTGCCTGGCGATCTGCTTGAGCTCACGAATAGTAGTCATAGTTGCGTACACACCTAGGTATATCAATCTCTAATTGGACCGCCGGCAAGGGAGGTAACTCCTCCAACCTTGATAAAAATATAGTGAGGCGCTTTAGTAAATATCTAGATACACCTTATCGATTATTCCCTCGACCCACCCGGAACATGCGCAGCATAGTAGGGTGTTTTGTATTACTTGCAACGAGTCGTCAACAAGTATATCTATCTCCCCATGCACATCTACTCGCCCCCCCATCAAAGTAATTCCAAGTGTGCCCAGCCCACGGCACATCAAACCCTACTTTCACCATGATTGTAAACGAGCACCCCTTATATAGTTCGCTAACAATCATGGGTTTGAGGACACTGATATCTATACTTTTCCCCACATCCATCTGCCAGCTTCTCAGGCAACTTTCCCTGGGCTCAATTTCCACAAACATAGTTATACCTAGGTGTTCACAGTCTCTAATTGGGGACTTATCCTGAGAAGTCGCCTACGTTCTTTTATGTAGGCCTTTTTATTCTCGTAGATGAGATGATGTCTGACTACGTTTGCTCCGTGAGCTTTGCATAGGCAGTAGTGCCCTTTAACCCCTATACCACACACAGAACACGTGTAGTTAGGGCTTCCCATGTGGAAACAACAGTACCCCTCAGTCCTGCATCTCCTACCACAGGCTTCTTTCTTCCCCATAAGTATGTATTCGCATCGGTACGGAGCAGGTCTCATCTTTAGCGTACTTATATGAGTACTTAGTCTAATTGTTTTGCAACCAACGCAGTCGCTGCTATACCCAGCGCGATGAAGACCAGTTCACGGTCCATTTGCCCCTTGGATGGTGTGTAGTACTGAGCGAGTGTGGGTTTATTGAGTGGTTCCAGCTGTTTACCTGTTAGTAGGTAGTATTCTCTCGCTGCGTCGTCGACATCGTGGAATGTTTTAACGGCATGGTTCTCACGCCTGAGTTGTTCGTTAATGTAATCGATCCTCTGAACACGTTTTTTCGCGTACTCGGATTGTGCCGATTGTAATTTCTCAATAGCAAGGTCGTGCCTCTTACGCTCTGCTTGTATCTCAGCCGCGTGTGACTCTCGTAGTTTCGAGAAGAGGAAATTACTCCCGGAAAATGCCAGGGCATTTACTAACGCCCCACCGACCATCATGGCGATCGTAGCCATCCTATATTTACTTCATAATATTTTCAGGTAGTATCCCTTGTTTTACTAGGATGTCCTTTGTGGCCATCGCCATACCAAGGTTCATTATGAGCATACCCATATCCTGCAGGTTGAAATCTAGCTTGATAGTCGGTTGTTTAAGCACCATTTTGGTCAACCGAGCGTACCCTACGGCTAGACTGGCGACCACGGTGGCGTGGTATGCGTCGTTGACGAACGTTTTCCCCTCAGACATTATGTATATGATATAAAAATATATATTTTATTGCATGATATGTGGGTTGACCTCTAATTGCGGGGGTTTCTCCCTGGGAGGTTGTTTGTTATATAACCATGAGATAGCCACGGCAGCAGTTACGCCTGCAACCAACAAGAGTCGATTCGGGTTCACCGTGATACTTTTATGTTGGTTACACCACCTTTTTACCGGCAGCTACTCGTAGGGTTGGGGTGGGTTCACCTCGGGAGGGTTCACCTCCAGTTGGGGTTTCCCCAAAGTGGGGGTCTCCTCCCTGGTGGTCTCCTGTGCAGTATCCATCTATACTATTATTATTATTTTTCCCCTCCTTAAATTGGCAATGCTTTGCCGTCATAATCGCCGCCGTCACCGGGGCTAACAACATACCGTATTTGTGGTACAGCACGCAGCTGATAGAGCTCAAGGTGTGTTCAATAAAAGGGTCTTTCTCAAGGTCTTCTCACAGGTAAAGTCGGCGTTCCTGGGGGATGGGAAGAAAGTACGACGCTATACCAGTGTATATCTATAGTTTTCGTCATCTCTGCCCCGAGTCTAGACTCGTATCTAGCGTACAGCTTATCGATTTCTTCGGCTGACATTTTATGAATTTTATCGGGAGTGCAGTCTCCAAAGTAATGTTTGGCTTTGCCACCGACAGCCAACGCCACCAGTCTCTCTGGCTTGTCGTCACTCACCTGTGGTGATTGTGGCACCAACAGTTGTTCGAGCAGTTCATCACACTCCATCTTATAATGTAACAAGCAAGTTTTAGTTTTAACTATATAATATACGGTATAGAAGAAACACAGAGAAATGAAGGTTAAGTTGCATAACTATAACACTGACGAAGCATTTGCTAAGCATTGCTAAGCTTTGCTAAGCATTTGCTAAGCATTTGCTAAGCTTTGCTAAGCATTTGCTAAGCTTTGCTAAGCATTTGCTAAGCTTTGCTAAGCATTTGCTAAGCTAAAACACCCTATAGGCCACGGGTTGGTCGGTCTTGAGCACGAGCTTAGCGTGTTTAGTTTCAGCGAGCTGTTTGTTTACACGTTCCCGTTCTAATTTGCTCATCACATCGTTCTCTCTCAAACACTCCTCGAACGAATCCCTGTCCTTGCAGTGAAATAAGGCCACCCATCGCGTCTGCTCCCTGAGGTCTTTCAACACCGAGTTGAACTTCTGCGTTAGTACCCAGACGCTGTGCTTTGCGTGCCGGCCGGAGAAGGCCAGGTACGATAGCATGTCTCTCTTTTTTGTTATCTCACGATTAGCGCTGCAGTCGTCCAGTATGAACAGCGTCGACTCCCCTTTAAA